GGCGGGGTAGAGTGGCGCTTTGCTGAGCTGGGCTGCGCTCGACTGGTAAGCGCGCGGGGGTGGAGCGAGGAGCAGGGCGCGGGGGGCGTGAGGTGGACGAGAACGGATGGTGGTTTCATCACTTTTCATAAAGCGCCCTCATATTGCCTCTGCATTTCGCACTTTCGAGCTTCGGCCAGTCCTCCTGCTGCGCGGAGTGCAACAGCAGCAGCTCTGCAGCAAATCACCCCCGCGCGCCTCGCCGCGGCGGGCCGCGGAGCTCATCATCTGCACCGCCTCTCCGCCGGGATGAGTTTCCAATCGCTCGCTGCCGCTGGTGCTGCCCTCTGTCCTTGTCTGGCGCACTCGCGTCCATGCTAAGCGGCTCTCTCAGGCGCCGGTGCCTCCCGACGGGTCAGTGAGCCTCGTCGAGTCTATGACGCTGGACTTGCGAAAGTCACAGGAGGTGATGACGGGCGCCGCCTGCCAGGAGGAGGGTGCCGTGCTCTTCGCAGGCCACTTTTGCCGGGAGCGTCCGTGCCCCGCCAGGAAACGCCCAGGAGGAGGCGTGGGGGTCGGCAAAGTGTCGATGGAACAATAATACTGTACAGAGGGTAGCGGCGCGGGGCTCACGCCGGCTCGCTCTCGCTGCAGCCGCTGCAGCCGCTGCCGCTATACAACATGTGATTTATAGGCTCCAACAACGAGGCCTGCATCGCTTATTCGCACCACGGCGGATTGATTATTGGCAGATGCGGTGCGGTCTAGGTGAGAAGGGATTCCCCGGCCGGCCGGCAGTCCCGCCCGCCACCTGCACGCGCAACGCCCGCCCCACGGGCCCCGCCCGACAAACCGCAGCAGGGCACCGCGGGGCCCAAAGCTTTAACGGTTTAACGCCTCTCAAGAGGCCTGTATGAAAAATCGCGCGGCCAAAGCCGTGCGAAATGAATCTGGAAAAACACTGGAAAAATGAGTGACGTGCGCCTCACCAATTTGATGAGGTTCTATGCGGGGCCCAAACAACGGAGAAAGGGGGATACGGCAGGCGAAAATCTGCCCAGAATCAAGAAGATTTTGTTTGGTTGAATGAAGAAAATTTCGCAAGTAGTGTCCCTCTGCAAACGATACAGGCCCCATACCTATATTGGTACATAGCAATGCTGGACTTTGATGAACATTAACATTAATGAATTTCCGCTTTTGGGTTTGGGCTCTAATCGTTTAAAACTGCCGAGTGTTTAAACTCCTTAGGGATCATCCAGAAAGTACGGTCACCATTCACCCTTACGAACCAGCCGAGTGCAGCAACCTCTTCAAGCTCTCATAGCGCCTGATAGCTAGGCAACATCATTCCTGCTGTGCACGCGTGTACTGCGGGGTGGCCTACCCCTAGACTCGCAGGCGCCGAGTTCCCCTCATTCGCCAAATGACTATGGGAATGACGGCCGTACTTTTTTGGACGATCCTTAATTTAAAATTTGAGCTGAACAGTTTCATGTTTTCAGATATCAGTGCACTTTTTTATTACACTTCGACGGAAAAATCCTATTGGGCTTGGGAGTAGGGACGGCAAGAGAAAAAGAACGTTTAGTGAACCGTTGAAAATCGACACGTGATCGAAATTCTCCCCGCATTACGGTGAGAACGTAAAAGGGGGCTTTGGTGCGCGTCCAGTCGCGTCACGTGCGATATAAACGGTACTGGCCACAACTTTTTCTCACACTTCAATCATATCATTGGAGGCAAAGCGAGGCGTTCTGGGCGGGACGGGGTGGGGCGGGGCGGGGCGTTACCACAGCGCGCACACAACTCAGCCCGGTATTTACGTCGCGTCTTCCTCCCACCGAACGCGCCGTTGCAATGAGCGAATGTGCGAGAGAGATGAGAGAGGGCGGCCATGTTTCCTTCTCTTCTGGCGCCCAATAGCCATGGGCCGTGGCCAAAAAGCCCTTACCCGTGTGCCAAACTCGGCCTTCATTAGGGGTCATAGGCCCATGGGAATGCCTGTTCGGAGATGCTTATGCCCCCCCCCTTTTCCCAACCCTTTCTTTCTCTCTCTCTCCCGTCTTCTGCGCTCTCGTGGCTCCCCCGTATCGGACGCATACCGACGCACAGCACAACAGTCTCCTCCATGATCGACGGTTTATTGTTCTTCCAAGGAGTAGGGCGATGCACTATCGTACACGGCTTCAATATTTGTTTGAAGATGGAAAAGTAATTGTCCCTCACTGCTTCCCGTTTATTTCACAACTTTTAATGTGTCCAAAGCTTCATAGCCAATCCTGTTGTTGAACACTTTTAAACTTTACTGTTAAACACTTTGCAGTATTCAAATGCCCAGCCAAACACTTGAAAGTGTGCAACATAGTGTTCAAGCACGTGCATGTGCACGCCAGTTGAACACTTTATTTATCGGTGCAGTCTTTTACCAATTCTTGTCACGTTTGAAGTAGAAGAATAATAAGAACTTTGTTTCCGAAGACGGTCTCAAATTAATGAGCACTGCGCGCTTGATCCGGTCCGGCGCGTGTTTGTGATATCGCCGCTCCACTCAAAACCGCTCCCCCCCCATCACACACACACACATTCACTTCTACACACACACGAGCGCACGCAACCGAGTACGGTTCGAGATGTAGAGCTGTGCGAATTGTTCGAGATCAAGTCGAATCAGGCAGATTCGAATTCGGCTGATTTAAAAAGTGCATGACTCGATATGGCAAGACGTAATTATTCTACGTTTCGATTTAAGTTGGTTTTCACTACGATTGAATAGGTCCTAACCGGTCCTAACTTAATGGTTTGTCATTTGAACATATTTTGTTTCTCAAAGATCTACCAAAGTCCCGAATCGGTACTAATGAGAAACATAATGCTTTAATTTACCAACACTTTTTTGCAAATGTTTCTATGCTATTCGACATGCTTCGGCTCGAGTTTTTGTTTTCCTTTTTTCAAGCCTTTTCGGTTTGATTTGGCTTGAAAGCAAGGTTTTCAGACTTAACTCGATCTGATTTGAGCGCGTAAACCTCAATTCGCACAGCTCTACCGAGATGACGCACGGATTGATATATGCAAATGCATGCAAACGGGCGGGGCTGCGTCCGAACACGTGTTCGTCCGGACTAAACGCGACGCCTGTGGCTCGGCACGCGAGTATGTTAGCTGTCCGGTACCGGCCGGGGAGGTACCCGGGGAGGTACCCGGGGAGGTACCCGGGGAGGTGGAGCCGGAGGAGGTACCCGCCAGCAGCGCGAAACCGTCCATGTCGGGTCACACTCACTAACTCGCACGGTCGGCAAACATCATTTATATTCGATATGTGCAGGGGGCATGCGCATGCCCATATCGGTACGACGGAATGGCGTGTCCCTGGCGAGAAGTTTAATTATAATGGACCAAGGTTACAACTTTTTTGTTTAGTTTGATGCAGGGAGTAAGGCAGGGGGGGGGGGCGGTTGAGATTCTTTGAAGATGAACTAGATCACACCACGTCCTCACCAGCAGTGCAATAAACAGTGAGAAATGGGAACGTGGATTCAACGTCGAATCAACGTCGAAACAATAAAAAATGTGGATTTGGGGGGCAAAAGGCCGTTTCGACGTCAAATCGACATCGAATCGACGTTGAAGAAAACTCCTTTTTCACTGGGATATGTAATATTGTCATGAAAGTGCAGTACATTGTCTTGATATTTTTTGTCTCCCCTTATATTTTCTTCAGTTCTGTTAAGTTCCTACGGGCGAAGCTGGGAAGTCTTACTTGATATACTCTATACTTTCACAGTTTTACAGTGAAATCTAAACAAGTTATGGCTTCGGAGCAGGCTTTACCTCAGTTTTTCCCCAATTATATATTTTTAAAGAGTGCACTAGAAGTGGCGGACAACGGCCTCGCCCCACCCTCGCCTTATTACATTTATTTTTTCATTATTTTCTCTTTGGATGCTCTTCGAGGTACTCGTACCGGTACGTCCCGATGATGGGAGTACGGCTATCGATACGCTGACCGCAAACACGCGCGTTACTGTAATTATTGATCTCTTCTCCAATTGCGACCGATCACTCAGCAGCTCTTTTTTCCTTCTTCTTTTGTGGCGTTGCTCTGCTCCATATTCTCCTCGCTCCTCCAGCTCTCCGTTCGCCAGGGAGGAGGAGCTGGAAGGCCGCAGAGAGAAGCTCGCTGCGTTTTTTTTTAATAATGTTGTGAAGTCGATTCCACTTTGTTTTGTGGTGTCGGCCGGGTCGGGCCCGCGAGTCTTCTGTTCAATAGCGTTTCCCTCAGATGAGTTCGGTCGATCATTATGCACACTGCAGCAGCTTATGGCGCTGACGCTTGGCAGGGAAGCAACAAAAAAATGAAATGGGACCAAAACGACAACAACAGTTGTGCGAAGAGAGAACTGAGATTGTATAGGAACATCTCCGTGTGAGGGAGGTTTTTGCTTTCGCAATCAGCCTAAAGCCGATCGTGATGCACGTAAGGCCGGGAATGCCCCTCTGTCGTATCGCCTAGAGAACGGACTACGGATAAGGCCACGTTTGGTGGGGAGTTGGGTGGAATGCTTTATTTGCCGTCTTCTTGGTCGGCAACTGAAAAAGGAAGGATCTGCATGTCTCGTCCGCG